ACCATTTATCGGATAGCGCCGCTCCTAACGCTCGGCAGCGCTGGCCCTAGCGGCTGCCGCGCGCGCGGTAAGGAGAGGAAGGGAGGTGTATACCATAAGAATCGGCCGAAAAGATAAAATAATTCCAAGCCCTGTTTTAAAGAATCAAGCATTCTTAGCATAGGAATCGGACTTTCTGTCAAATTGTCTCAAACTTTCAGCGATGAAAAGTCTTGGAAGGACTTTTCAATCGAGAGGGCGAAACCCAGATTTGGCAGTTCGTTTTTCAAATATAGCGTTTCAAAATCGAAATAACTGTTTCCTTATTACCCCTATCGAGAATGGTACCGTTGGAAAGTTTTTGCCTAGAGTTTTCCAAAAATACTACACATGGGTAATCACAGGTCAAAAGGTGTCGGCAGTGATACCATTGCCCGAGCCCCGAGCGCACACGGACGCGTGATGTAGCGGTTCTCGTTTGTGTGCGTGATAGTGCTCAGGGCTCGAAATGGCATCACTGCCGTGATCCGTGATTATCCGTGTGTGATATTTTTGGAAAACTCTAAGCAAGAACTTTCTTAAACGATACCATATTCGGTGGAGATAATAAGAAAACGATTGTTCCGAAATGCTATATTTCGAAAACAAACCGTCAAATCCAAGTTTCCCTATCTCGATTGAAAGGTCCTTCCAAGACCTTTCATCGTTGAAAGTTTGATTTGATTTGACAGAAAGTCCGATTCCCATGCTAAGAGTGTCTTTAAGCATTCCTCACGATATTATTATTTAACAATAACGATTTATAAATTTTATTTAGACGCAATGACAATATCCTAAATTCTGAGATGCGAACCAAAACACGCTTTATCGCGTTATTATAAATATCCTACAGTTAAAAGACTCCTCATTACATCTTATGAATATCTTGTTGTGTTCTTTGGCTACATAAAAAAATACCTCGTTCTAGAAGCAGGCAATAAGAACTTCTTTGACTGTGCGGGATGCAGGATCTTACAAGCTACGAAAATACATAGAAATTTGTGGTAATATTTGTAAGAAGAAGAAATCTACATATAATTGTCTAAGTAATTCAAAATATTTGTTACAATAATCTGTAATTAAAAAGAAAAAAAATAGAGATTATCATATGCA